TCACCGCCCGCCCTCAAGGGCCCGGGCGGAGCCGCGGCCGCCCCGCCTCACCCGGGGCGGGGACCGGAGCGGGCGGCGACGGGACACCAACAACCCGCCCATCAGCCGGGCCCGTCGTGCGCTGCCGGCGGCGCCGCCACCGCGTGCGCTTGATTCTGTGTTTCACGAGCACAGGGTGAGGAGGTGGGCGGCCCGCGGAGGGGAAAGGGAGGGCGGCGCGGCGCTCCGCGGCTCCGTGCCCGGGCTGCGTCCCGGCTGCGTTCCCGAGCTGTGTCCCGGCTGCGTTCCCGAGCTGTGTCCCGGCTCCGTGCCCGGGCTGTGTCCCGGCTCCGTGCCCGGGCTGTGTCCCGGCTCCGTGTCGCGGCTCCGTGTGCCGGCTCGATGCCCCGCCAGCCCCCCTTGCAGCGCAGCCGGCTCCGGCTCACGGCCCCTCAGCCGCCCCCCATCGCCGCGGCACGGCCGGGCAGCGAAGCCGCGGCGACGCTTGGTTGCGGTTTCAGGGGGTTTTCCTGAAAGCAACCGAGAAGTTGCATCTTGTCCCTTTAAAGTTTGCAAGCTGTTCTCCTGCTTCTTTTCTCAGGGAGTTTTTACCTCCCCCGCCTGCGTGATGGAGAGAGGCTTCAGGGCGGGGGCTGCAGTGGCAGGACAGGGAGCAGCAGTTTTAGGGTGCGTTTAGGTTAGGTAATAATAAATACTTCACAGTGAGGGTGGTGAGGCGCTGGAGCGGATTGCCGCGAGGTGCTGTGGATGCCCTGTTGGAAATGACATAACTTTCCTAAATATTTTCTTAAATTTTTAGCTAATGGTAGCGGGCAGCTGGGTTTCTTTCCCACAGGCTCCTGAATTGGTGTGATCTTTAAAACAACCGAAGCTTTTGAGTTTCTCTGGACTGGCTCTGATGAGCTTCAATAAATAAAGCTTGAGGGAGTTCAGGGCTGGACATCTGGGATCTTAAATTTATGGTCCATGTTGGAGCAACCAGAAGATGCAGAGGGGATTGATTAACAAAAACATTACAGCCTGCGAGTTGGAGACTTGTCTGAGGAAGAATGATAAGAGGACCAAAGAATGCAGACCAAATTAGCCAATAAAGGATAGAATACTAATCAAATGAAGAGAACTGTGTAACTTAGAAACAATAAACATCAATTTCTTTGTTTACTGGAGTGTATAAGCAAGTGAAAAGTCTTCAAAGGAACACACGTGGTTGGAATGATCCGCTGCATGTCTCTGGCCAGAATCAAGTAATGCCTGGCTCACTAACACTTAAAAGATAGTGTTGGAGCATTTCATTTCTTCCCGAGGATTTTTGGTAACATTATCTCCCTGCCAGCATGATGGAGAGAGACTTCGGGGCCTACAGTGATAGGACAAGGAGAGACAGCTTTACAGCTTTACAGAAGAGAGTTGGTTTAGATGAGACATAAGGAAGAAATACTTTACAATGAGGGTGGTGAGATCCTGGCACAGGTTGCCCAGAGAAGCTGTGGCTGCCCCATCCCTGGAAGGGTTCAGGGTCAGGCTGGATGGGGCTCTGAGCAACCTGGGCTGGTGGAAGGTGTCCCTGCCCACGGCAGAGGGGTTGGAGCTGGATGGTCTTTGAAGACCCCCTCCCAAACAGTTCTACGATTCTGTTATCTTTGCCTTTATTAAAAAAAAAAAAATTGGAGAAGGTGTTTGCAGGACTAGGCAAAATCAAGTTAGAAATTTTCTGGAGAATGAGCAACAAGACTCAAAGTTTGAGAAGAGTTTGCTGATATTAGGAATTACCTTCCCTGAATTGTCCATGCCCCAAATCACATCCCATTCCAGATCAATGTCCAAACCTTAAATGGTTTGGGCTGTCTCTCGTTCTCCTTTTTCATCCACCAACGCAAACTCTGTCCTGTTTTTAAATTATTTGATATATTAGTATTCTCATCATGCAGTAAACTTGCTCATCTCTTGCAATCACCACTCATTTCACTGACAACTGGTGACAACTCACCAAAAGAAACAAAATGAAGTATTTATTCCCCCAAGTTACATGAACGCTGTGTAATTTATGAGCATTTTGTTGCTAAAGTTTTGCTGGGGTTCAAAATCAGTTGAGTAAAATCCTTGTTATGTTGTTACAGTCTTTTATTTCCCCAGACACTCTCACTGCCAGCTGTCTGAGGCACAGGTACTGGGTGTTTAGGTCATTAGAGGTCAGGTTTTGCCAGGAGGAGCTGTTGGGTTCTCACTGAAAAACGTGAACAGAGTGAAAATGGGGTGGTGAAGAGCAGCAACTTAAGAGGAAAATTTATATATTTAACAAAAAGAAAAAAAGTGCCAAACCCCTGAATAGAGAGGAAGTGCTGGCAAACTACTGAGCCTTCACCTGGCTGATGAAAATTGATGCATAATCATTCAGTCATTTCAGTTTTATATGGAGAAGCTATTTTTTTCTTTATTTCTTTTCATGTAATTCCTACCCCTTTCTAGGCTTTGCTCCTTTGGAAATTTTAAATAACAACTGCAGGGATGAACTGAAAATCACACTAGAATTGCCATTTTCAAGAAAAAAAAATTTAGACATTAAATAGGCTAATTAATTTTTCTCATTTAAGAAGACCTGCTATCTTGAGAGGCAAAGCTCATGAGGCAGAACAGAGACTTGGGATGATGATGGGAAGGTTTCTTGTTTTCACTTTTAGATCATTCGTTCTGATTCTTACCCCAGTCAGGGATTAATGGCTGGCTTGCAGAAACAAAAAGGTTCCGAGCCTTTCAACCTCTTGTGATGTCCCACCCTTAAGGGGAAGGGAGCACCCAAGGTTTGTAAATGCCTGTGGTCAAAGGAACGACAAAAGCCGGAGGGTCCACAAAAAACTCACTGAATTTTATTAGTAAATTACACACTTGGCTTGGAAATTGGTTTGTGAGTCCCTGACATACTATATAAGCACATGGCAGTGTGGTTTGGATAAAAGGGTAAGATAAAAAGGGAGAGAGAAAGAAAGAGATGAATTAAAGAGGAAGAGAGAGAGAGAGAAAGAAAGAAAGAAAAAAAGGAAAGAAAGAAAAGAAAAGAAAGAAAAACAAAGAAAGAAAAAGAAAGAAAAGAAAAAGAGAAAGAAAGAAAGGAAAAGAGAAAGGGAAAGAAAAAGAAAGAAAGAAAAAGAAAAACCAAAAGAAAGAAAGGTAAAGAGAGAAAGAAAGAAAAAAGAAAGAAAAGAAAGAAAGAAAGAGAAAGCTCCTTATCTTCTGGGATTTTACCCCTCTGTGGGCTTAGGTTGACCAAAAGATCAGTCCCAGTCCATCAGGTTTAAGCCACGGTTTTAAGTCTGACATTAGAGCGTGAAAGTAAGTCAGAGACCTCACAGCCTCTAAATTACTGAAATAAAAGTGAACACCACAATGACATTTAACAAGGGGATCCTTTCACCTGAAGTTTGTTTTTTTTCTGGTCCAGCAGCAGTTACTTGGAGCATGCTTAGTTCTGGAAGCTGAACTGCAAAATTAGCACCCCTGTGCTAATTTTAATTAACTGTCCCCCCCACAGGACAAAGACTGAATGGTTTGTGGTTGAATTGCTGCTTGGTCCCAGAACCCCATCTGTGTGTGGTTTGGATGGTTCCTAGGTGTGCTAAAGCTGTCTTGGAGATAAAGAGGATGGGTATGTTAATAGAGCTGCCAGTCTACTGCCTTTCAGTGCATTTAATCATAATTGTTCAAGGAAAAAGCAGAGAGAAGGACAGGGGCAGTTAAACAGGCAGTGTGTTCTTTGTGGATGCACAGGCAATACAAACCACAGCAGGAAATGTTTGCTTTTCACAGCACAATAAATGACTTCTGTCACTTCACTGAACAGGGGGAGAGGCTTGTGGATGAGTGAGGAAGATTGTATAATTCTGAGGTTTGAACTCTGAACTATATTATCTTAAACTCATTAAAATATCTTATCCAACCAGTCAGACTGGGAACACAACAGAGAGATCGATGGGGGGAATTAAAAGCAGCAGTGATTGCTGCTTTGCACATGCTTATCTGAATATTAACCCTTTGCCTTCCCACACTCTCTTCCACAGTGGGGAGGGGTAGAAACTGAAAGAAGGAGGAAGATTTTTGTTTATCGTATTTGTAAACAGGGATCTGGATAAGTTTTTCCAGGTGCCCCCGGGGAAGATGCCTGTGGAATGTATTTCAGTAAAGAACTCATTTAAATGGGGAACTGTCCTTTGCGTTTTAGCCACTTTTTGATGCAGAATAAGTCAGATCCCCTGCTCCTTCATGGAGAAAATACTGCAGAGTCAATGCAAGTTAGTGCCAGAATGAGAGGAATGCTGAAACCAGAGTCTGAGCCTACACTGTGCAGGTGCAGTGATGTTTTGAACTCAAGAAGATTTTCAGTCTAGAAGGTGTCCCTCCTGGTTTCTCAGGGGATGGAAGTCCACATCACAGGACTATTTCACTAATACTATTTTGCCCACTTCTGTAGACAGATGAAGCAATTAAGAAACTACTCCTGGTTTTCACCATTTTGCACATGTAGGTAGTGAATGCCAACTGGAAGAGTAATGCCAGAGGGAAGTTTAGGATGTACTGGTGTACAAATATATTCATATGCAGTCTCTCTTATGGATAAATTAGCTATTGTCTTTTGGTATCTAAAGCTATTGACTCTGCCACAACTCAGATTTTCCCCCAACAACATAATTATATGCAGCCCCAGAGTGTTAACAGGAGTAGGTGAGTTTTGCTGAAGCAGTTGGCAGAGATCATATCAACTTCTGCCTCTTCCCAAAGCCACCTGCATCCTGCTGTTGACTGTGGCATGAAGTTTGTCTCTCAACAGTTGTTCACTCTTGGAATACAACTGCCTGGAGTAGGCAAGCAAATAATCTTGTGTAGACTCATATAATCAGGACTCAGGAATCTGGAACTCCTCACACAGGGGAGGGCAGGCCAAGAGCTGGGACTTGCAGAAGAAAGTCCCCAGCACTAAAATGCTGAGAAGATCACACCCCATCGCTGCTGAGGGCACCAGCACAGCACAACAGACCCCAAGGGCATCATGGCAGGAAAAAGTCAGAGGGCAAGTTCAGGAATATTGTCTGGTCTGGGAGCTCAGGATGGTGTGAGGAAAGGGCAGGGCAGAGCTGATGGCAGGGCTGGAAAATGCTGGCAGAATCCCTGGCCAGCCTGAGCAGGAGGAGTACCAAGGGGCAAGGCAGAATGTGAGGAAAGCCAGCATTCCTGCTGTCTCTTGTAGCATGTTTTGATATTATTAACCTTTTTATCTCTTTCTTCACTTGCAGATTGTGTCCCTGATGCTTTTTCAGCACGTGGAATCTTAGGGGTTTTATATGGATTTTCTGCTCCGAGAACCCATTTTTTCTGAACGTGAACCTGTGACTGGAAGCGCCCGATTTCTGTTTATTACCTTAAATAATAACGTAATAAACCTCTCCCTCTTGACCTGGGTTTGTCTGCCTTTCCAGTCACACTCCAGGTCGGTGCCTGAGGACTCTGCCTGTCTCTGTACCCGCTGCAGGAGCAGGCAGACCCGTTTGGCAAGTGTGACCCTGCCTGTCAGCTGTGTGTTGGACATCCCTGGGGAGACAGCTGAGAAGACCTTGGGAAGAAAAGAACTGAAGCTGGGCGGGTCTGGGGCAGAAAAATCAGTGAAGGAGGAACTTAGTCATGAGAATTACAACCACACCAAGGTAATCATCAGCTTCATTAGGAGTGGCCTCAAACAAACTGGGAACCAGCAGCAGGAAAAGACTACTGCGGGGCAAGAGAAGTGGTGCAATCCAGGTGAGTGAGAGAAAACACTTCTGGAGGAGCAGTTAATGACTATTTATTTTTTAAAAAGGCTTTTAGTAACGTGAATGTGACCTGAATTAGAATATAGCTGTACCACGAAGTCTAGATGTCTGTGGATATATGTGTATACCATATATATATATGTGTATATCTGTATATTTATGTTCTTATTCCTTGTATTGAAGTTACTTATAAATTTCTCTGATCATGATGGTATTGGGGTTTGAGGAAAAAAATAAGAGAGGTATGTCCTATACACGCAGGTTGATTTGAACAAAATAGCTTATGGGCACTTTTTAAACAGGAAGAAATTAACAAAGTAATTAAGTTTCATATAAAATTAGTCTCAGTTCACTGAAACAGTGCAGAGTGATGCTATGCATGTGTGGATAAATATGTTCAGTGTTTGGTTAAGTAATACATGCCTAGGGCTGAATTCAGAACTAATTAGCATTTTACTTCCATCACTGGTGCTTGATTGTGAGGCAGTGAACTCTAATCCAAAGTGGTGCAGATATCTGTACATTTTCCTGTGTTTACCTGTTTGCATGAGCAAAAATTAAATTATAAACAAAATCCATGTTAAATCCACCCAGAAACATCCAAAACTTGGGAAACTGTGAAGCTAAAGTTGTGTACACAGGTTCAGGTGGCTGTGAATTTATGAAAGCAGATTAATCTTCCATTTCTTAAGCCATTAAGCAGCAATGTGATGTTATGCAATATTTTTATCACACAGCAGGTTTTTTACAACAAGAGCTACGTGTATGCATGATCCTTTGGAAAAAAATCCTTTATTATTATATTCTGTCACAGCTTTTGCTGTCACAGCTATTCAGAATATCTGTATTGAGTCTGTGTTAGGGTTTGGTACAGGCTTAGTACCAGCAGCTCCCAGCAAAATCAGAGTTCAGTCTGTAAGGAGGCATTTCCAAAAGTAATGTATGATTTTGACTTCACGAAAGGAAGTCATAGGTAAAACTGTGCTGTTGGGAGTTTAGCCTCTAGGCTTTTCAATCCCAAGCTCTGAGGGCTTCAGGTTAATGTATTCCTCAACTTTTTTTTTATTATTATTATTTTAAATTATTTTGCAGATTATCTTTGAGCAGTTACTTTTTGTGGTCTTAATTCAGGGGCAGTGTAATTAAGATACATGTTAATTTTTCAGAAACCATAACAGGCCGTGTCTGCATTAGGAAAAAATATTTTTGTCTTAATCACCATTCAGGTGATTCAGGTAGCATTGCTGTACTTAGAATTCCTTACAAGGCACATATAAATAAATTTTTGTGAGATGATCTGAGTTTTTCTGCTGTATTGAAAAGGAGCCAAGTTGGCCCTAAATAATCCACCTGCTCCAATAGCAGCATGGACCTCATTATTTGCTGTTTTCTCCGTGGTCTGGCTCTTCAGAAGTGGTCAGCCTAATTTTCTTTCACTCCCTTGCTGGGCTTCCGTAGCAGCTGGCGTGGGTTTGATGTTCAAGTACTGCTTCTAATTTTGGACCAAGAGAAAACCTTTTGTCACTGTAGGTGATTTTTGAAACACTTTGTTTTCTTACAGGGCGTTACAGCTCCCAGCTGTTTCAAAAGTGAGTTATACAACTAAATCTTTATAGCTGAGTGGTACAACCAGTACAGCCAGCCACATTTTTGTAATCCTTGGTCACAAGGACAGAGGTGTGTTATAATCTGGGCTGACTGGTCAGAATTTCCCATTTTTTTCCCCTTTTGCCCAACACGGTTGAAGGTGCTGCTTGGTAACCCCCAGGTAACCCTTGCAGTGAGAGATGAGGTGGCTCCACGGGCCAGGGAAACCTTGCAAAGGTCTCATGATCTGCCAGGCTGTTGGAAACAGTCCCTCAAGTCCTCTGAAGGCAAAAGAAACAGAATATGTGGTCTAACAAATGCAGAGCTTTTTGCATCAAGCTGTTGGTCTTGAAACCTGTCAGACTTGTTTTTTGTTTGCTTTGGATGCTGCTTTTAGTAAAAGGGGGACATGGCAAGGGAAGAAACCTCTGTTTGCTCTTTCATGGCACTTTTCTTCTCCCTCTTCTCTCCCGTTCAGTGGTGGTTCCCGGAATTCCCTTTCAGCCAGGAGGACACTGCACTTGTGCAGAGCAGTTGCCTGAGCCTTGACTGGTGCCCATGTTCAAAGGTCATGTAAAAGAGGAGGAAAATAATAAAATAAAATAATAAATGGTGACTGGAAAAAAGCTTGGGAGTAAGGTTCTGCCACTGCAAGAAATTAAGTAGAAAGCATCGTGGTTAAAGGATTTATTTTGTCTTTTATCAGTCAGGCAATATGCTGGACTGAAGTGGGGAACTGCTCAGCTGTTCCTTAGTTATATTCCAGTTGGTCCTCACGATTAGTGCATGGAGAACAAGTGTAAGAATACTTTTATAATAAAGCAGTGTGCAGTTAATGTGGGATAGGAAGTCTGGAGAAATAACTGCATTATTTCCATATCAGCTCATAGCACGTTTTAAATGAAGATCCAAATGAGTCTTGGCCTTTATTTTTGTCATATCAAATTAGCCAGCTGTTTCTTTGGGCAGAGTAGCTAATCATTGCACAAGGATTTACACATTTGCACTGATGGTGGGAACTGCTGTTAGTTCACAGGTCAGACATGTTCAGTGGCAAAGCTGTCTTATTTACTGTGATTATGTACATCTTATTTTCCTGAGCATGGCAAGAGCAAGCAGGAGGCAGCTTCTGCATGTGTAGCATTCCAGGTGTCTGTTCCCATATATTCCATGGACATGGAAGACTTGATATTTCTCTTTCTTTTCAGTCTTCTACCACAGTATTTGTCACTCAGGCTTCTTAACTCTTAGTCCTGGCACTTTAAATAGCATAAACTGAGCCTGATGAGAACTTTAAGGCCATAAAATGTGAGAGAAAATAGATTATTTTAGGGCAGATCACCTTCCTGATCCAGTGAATGCTTCTGCCAGTGCTAAGGGGACAGTTTACATGTGGGAATGAATGACAGGGGGCTCTATAAATCATAGTAAGGGTTATGCTGGCACACAGTGCCTGTGGATCTGTGTGGGAATGGTCTCACAGTGCAGCTTGAGATGAATTAGCCATTCACCACCACTAAAAGGGCAGGAAACCACCATGGCAAAAGAAACAGTGAATTTTTCCTGCTGGGTTAGTGGTTTGGATCAGTTTACCATATTATCAATTGCACAGCTGGGAGCAAAACAAGGAGTGAGAAGAAAGCAGAGGGAAGAGGTAATCCCTTCTTTTGGCATCGCCGAGCACTTAATTCAGCTCAGCTGCATTCACCTTCAATGTTTGGGCTTCCTGAACTGGTTTAAGCAGCCCCCACAACTGGAAATGTTAAAACCCACACGTGGCTGAGGCACTTGAGGACATGGTTTAATGGTGAACATGGTGGTGGTGCTGGCTTGGCTGTTGGACTTGCTGATCCGAGGGGTCTTTTCCAACCTTAATGATTCTGTGATGCTGTGAATTCCACGGAGTGGATTTCAATGTATGTAAAAAACTACTAAAAACCCCAGTGGAACCAGCTGGCACTTACTTGCAATTGCACCAATTCTCTAATGCAAAGTCTGAATTTGAATCTTTTGAGGTGTTTTTGTCCCCTTTATCCTGGCTTGGCGCTGACAAACTGTCCTCATATAATAAAATAAGTAACTGAGCACTGTCAATGTGTTTCCTGCCATATGTTAGTTCCACATAACTTTTATGTGTCCCCTACTGGTACACTGCAAAAGGTATTAAATGTGTAACGGGAGTTCTGTGGATTTCTGAGCTACAATTGGATTTCTGAGTTGCAATTCTTGTTGTGAGCATAGGAATGTAAGAACTGCAGTAATGTTACTGTTAGACCAGTAAGCTGCAGAAAAAGCCCAAGTGTGAGAATTCATTTAGTCTCAGCCTGAAAAGCAGCACTGAAAGGCACCTCAGAATTATCTTTTTGAGTACAAGTTCTGTTCCTGCTTCCTGAGCTTTACAAGAGGATGGGACACATGGAGTGGAAATGGGCTTCTCTAATCAAACTTGGAGCTTGGACTGTTTATGATTCAGATTGCTGACTTTGCTGATTGCTGATTGCTGGCTAATGGTCCTAAAGTCTATTTCTCTATGTCTGTTCAGATGTGTCTTTCTTATCTCTGTGTATGTGAGAGTGAAAGAATTTGTGTGTGTGTGTATATGTTATAGGTTGGAACCAGCTGAATTTGCTGGCATATCAATCCAATCCAATTAAATAAAAAAAGAAAAGAGACTTTTTGTGATACCTTAAAGCACAGATATATTCCATTTTCCTCTGTCCGCTGCCTCTGTTGTGCAACTGATACAGCATAATTTCACTCGTTAATTTCAAGCATGAGAACAAACTTTGTTTAATGTTCCATCACTGAATTCCATAAAACCAATGCCATATATTGTAATTAACATTTGCCATTGAGGTTAATTGCCTTAAACTCATAGCCCAAAAGAATTACTTGCAGGATAAGTCACAATGCCTATGAAATGTTCTGGAGGATACTATGTGTGAAGCTGTTAAGTCTTACATTTTTGGCAGTGTTTATAAGAAGCAGTGACTATATGTACATGCCTTGCCTTTCTGTCAGTCATAAAACTATTCGCTACACTGATTTTTGCAATTTAGAAATAGTAGTCCAGGTCCTCTGATGGTCAGTGCAGCACCACAGAGACTGTCCCTATCACAACTTCAGTGCTCAGTGAAGATTATTATGATTAGTGAAGGGGTAGAAAGCTGCATATTCTGTTCATTTGTTGCTTCATAATCATCCATTCTCCTAATAAATTTTGTTATTATTCCTTGTCTCTGTGCAGAAAGCAGAGGTTGGAGACCTCCTTGCTTGTAGCTGAACATGGCAGGGGATGTGAAGAGGTTCACACGAATGCTCCTGGAATGCAGCAGCAATGACAAGCTGTGTGGTAAGATTCCCAGATTCCTTTGTAATAATAAAGCTTATTAATAGTTTAATAATAAAGCTTATTAACTTTTATAATAGTAAAGCTTTCACATGCTGAGGAGGGAGTCCACCTTTGCTAAAAAGTGGACCAAGCCCTTTCCCCTCCTCCACCTGCATCCCAGCCCACACAGAAAGCTGGGATTGAGCTTTCATTGTGTCTCAGGGGAGAAACTTCTATGGGTATGCAGCCTTTGTGGCAGAATTCATCTCACATAGTTTTAGCCATTTTAGAGAATTTCTACTTTGAATTAGACGTGCAATAGTTATTAAAGGTTCCCTTCAGCTTCCCAAAGGGCCAGTTTTGGGAGATTTTGATTTCATGACTTTCTGGCATCTTTGGGAACTGAAATATGGTCTTGGCCTGTGCAAAATTAGCACCACCTCAAAATCTGGGGACCTGAGATAGTTCCCTTCACGAGCCTTGTTGACTGCAATGTCTTCCAGTCAAACCCCAAAGCAGGTGCCCACACCCTGTTTCCTTTAAAATGCTCCATGTAATTTTACTGGAAGGAGCTGGAGCTGGAGTTGCACATGTATTTGTGATGGCTTAGCAATGTCCAACCCTTCCCATTCCCTGCTGTCCCTCTGCCAGCGCTGGTTCTGTTTCAGTGGTGGATGGTGCTTACAAATGGCTACAATTCCATTCAGGCATCTAAATAAGGGATTCCAGGCAGTTTTGAACAAGAGGGTGGCAGCACTAACAGTGTCCAGCTGCTCTTCCAAGGAGCAGAGGTTGGAACACGTGCTCTTGGGGTTGAAAGTTACTGAGGTGGGTTGTTACCACTTATTCCTTGGCTTTCCATTTGCTTTCCCTGCTGGCAGTTGTGCGGGAATATCAACCTGAAGTGATCGTTGTCCCAGTTCTCCTTGTGGGGTCTTTTGTCATCGTGCTCACCGTGATCCTTTGGCTCCACTGTCGAGGCTTGAGAGCAAAGCAGGAGCAACTCCCCCCACCATCTGGACCCCAAGGTAAAAAACAGGGGTTTCAACCAGAGGTTGGTTGAACTAGAGTATAGATAGCAGCAGTAATGGATGGATCTGAGAAAATCTAAAGCCCCATGTCTTATAGGCTGTTTAACATACACGTGAGAGCTGTGAGGTGTATTTATTTATCAACAGGGTTTTACATAATTAATTACGAATGGCAGTAATTTTGATGTAGATCACACCTAGTTAATCCATTTTTCCATGCTGTCATTTAAGAAATGTAATTTCAAGCTGCTTTCTCCCACTTCCTATGGAGACAACATGAATTGGTCAGGGGGTAAGGAAAGTTTTGTTGGTACAAAGTGTTGCTGTGTGGAAATGAATATACAGTTTTGAACTGATTTTGGGTATGTAGAGGCCTCTTAAGCCCATATTAAGGGAAATAATTGAGAATAAAGATAAGGCCTTTATGGGAACACCCCGTGCATGTCCCTTTCAGAGCAGCTAAGAGCTGGTAATAAAAGAAAATGGTCATTGCTTGAGCACAGAGGAATGAAGTACAAATGTGTCTGATCTAGAAAGTTTATGTAGTTAAATATAGAAGAAATTTCCAGGCTAATTCTGCCTTTCATCAAATAGAGTGGGAGATAAATTCTTTCTCCTTTTCAGAGGCCAGGATAAGTAAGGTACAATAACAGTTCCTTGCTTTGTCCTGATTTCCAAAACACTATGGAGCGAAAATTAAAGAGGATAGAAGGGTGAGCATTGCCACCTTTTGCAAGAGTTCATCTTCCTGTTTTTGTGCATCATCTGTATTTGCTTTTGTCAGTGAAGAAAAAGAACCAGCAGGAATCCTGCTCAACAGAGAATGGCTGCATCCAGCTGAGTGAGACATCCGTGGAGAGCCTGCTAAAATCTGCATCCCCGACTCTGAAGGAACTGCAGATACCACGAGAGAAACTCCTGCCAGGCACCTTCCAGCTGATAAAACATGGTGGCCGTGGGAGCATCTACAGAGCACAGCTGGAAACTGGGAGCTCTGGGAAGACTAGGACTGTGGTGCTGAAAGCCTCACAAGGTGAGGCACGTGGTCAGGATCCCCTGTGGGACACATCTCTGATGCTGGGCAGAACTTTGCCATCACTACTGGGCAAGAACAAGCTGTGTTCAGTATCATGTCAGCTAGTCAGAATGATGGGAATGTCTTGGTAGGATTAAAGATTCCTGACCATCTTGATTTTAAGCTACTCACCCTGTTCTTTGCTGCTTCTGTTTGTTTTTGTTGTTGTCTTTGTTTGGTTTTTGTGTGTGGGTTTGGTTTGTTTGTTGTATTTTTCATTTGTTCTGTTTGTTTGTTTTTGTTCTTCCAGGCCTGGCCAGTCTCCAGGAAGTAAAGGATTTCCTGGGAAGGATTAAATTCCATCAAGATCTTGGCCATCACGAGAACCTTGTTGAACTGGTTGGATGTTGTGTAGACAAACTCCCACTTTATATGATCATGGAAGATGTATCTCTTGGTGACCTGCTGACGTTTCTGTGGACATGTCGGAAGGTGAGTCAAAAGAAGTGATGACAGAACAGCTTCTTAAATTCCTTAGGTGCATATTTTTCCATAAGTCACAGTCCATAAGTCAGAGATGATTCTTTTCATCTCTCCATGCATCCCTCTCTATCAGTCCAAACTATTTCCATCCCCCAGAGAAGTTCCACACAGGTCTAAACTAGAATAGAATTTGTGGGTTCTTCCATTGATATTCTATAGTTTGGAGAAGCTGACACTTCTGTAAAGCCAAGTCCAGCTTTGCATATCATTGGACCTCCTTGAAAGGTAGAGCACTGGAATTAGAGTGAGAATTGATACAGAAGCCTTAATTTGCAAAGTTTGAAATAAATGTCCCACTACAAATGCTTTTAAGGAAACAGAGCAGTTACAATACCAGGGAGAAGGTCATTAAATGATAACTAATTGGTTAAAAGGCAAGAAGTAGAATATAAGAATGAAAGGTTGGTACTTTCACTAGAGGGAGGTCAACTGTCTAGGACCTGGTGCTGATTGTTGCATGTATTAATAACCTAGAAAATGGGATGACAGTGAGGTGATGATGGTTGCTGATGATTCCAGCCAGTAAAGGCAAAGTCTGACCCAGAGGAATTGCAGAAGAATATTCCCAGACTGAGAGACTGGCTAATAAAAAGAACAAATGAAATTCAGCATAGCTAAAAATGAAATGATGCACAGGTGGAAAAGCAATCTTAGTTTCACATATGTAAATGGTGGCTCCATATCTGCCCATTGCTGATGAGGAATAAGAATCTGAAAGTATGAGATCTGATAGTATGAAAATATGCAGTCCATTGGAAATGTTAACCCAAGCTGAAAACAATAACCCAGATATCAGGGGAGGTTTAGATTGGATATCAGGAAAAGCTTTTCACACAGAGAATGGTTGTGCACTGAACAGGCTCCCCAGGGCAGTGGGCACAGCACCAAGGCTGTCTAAGTTCAAGAGATGTTTGAACAATGCTCTCAGGCATTTTTGGGGTGTCCTGTGCAGGGCCAGGATTGGACTTGATGATCCTGAGGGGTCAATTCCAACTCAGCACATTCTGGGATTCTGCATTTCAGTCAATTTATGACCAACTGTGAAATTACATGGGGGAGCATAAGATTAGATAGTACTCATTTTATGAGATTAGAAGGAAGCATTCCCCACTATCCTACTGCTGTGTCACTTGTTGGAACCAAACAAATTTGTCTCTAGGATGTAATGGCAATGGATGGGATCCCCTATGACCTCACTGAGAGGCAAGTTTATGAAGTTGGACAGCAGGTTGCAGCAGCCCTGGTAAGTCTGCTCACATTTACTGCTTTTTTTTTCCTTCTTGCTTGATTGCAACACAAATCTTCCTGGTGGCCTAAGTCTTCTTGGCCTAAGCACTGAGAATGTGTGCTTTGTTAAAACAGAGCCCACTGTGCTTGCATGATGTTGGTGACCGTGTCCCTCTACTCCACAGCATGGAAGACAAGCTTAAACTGAGTGAAAATTTATATCAACTAAATTTCCTTTTAAAATGATCGTGGTTTTGTTTCTTTTCCAACTTTCCAGGCTTACCTTGAAGAGAAGAAGCTGTTCCATGGTGATATTGCTGCCAGGAACGTTCTCCTCCATCCCAACTTCTCTGCCAAGCTCTGTGGTTTGGGTCTGGCCTATGAAACCCACGCTCATGGTGCCACCTTGGTCACACAGGGTGTGCCAGTCAAGTGGCAGGCCCCAGAGAGGCTCCTCAGGAAGCCCCCCAGCATCAAGGCAGATGTGTAGGGTTTAATTTTTGAACTAAAAATCTGTCAGACCTGTCTCTTTAGCTCCTTTATGTATCATTTTCATGTCCCAAAGGCGTATCCAGTCACAGCATAATGCTCCACATTGCTTTGTTTTCTTCCCTTGCAGATGGTCTTTTGGAATTCTACTGTATGAAATGATTACATTAGGTAAGGAGATTTTGTGATAATTAAAAAAAAATTTTGTAAGGAAGCAGCAAATTACAAGACCCAAAATCTCAAATTTCAGCATGTAAAGTTGGGCCACTTAAATAAGCACCCTGTTTTTTTTTCCAACTTGCAAAGTCTTGTCAATTCCTTTCAGGCTTTCTGTCAGTGTGAATTGTGGTAGGGAAAAAAAATGGATCTTGGTAAAGAAGGGATTTTCATTTTCTGGATTTTCATTTTCCATATTGAAGTTGTTGTTTCAGAACAACAACTGAAAAAGTCAGTTCAAAATCATGTAAGTCAAAATCCCAACAGACTTCCACCCAAGGCAGCACATTCCTCCAAAACATTTCACTTTCAACAAAGGCAGTTTCTCTACATGTTATTTATAAGAGGAAAATGTTTTCTTATCAGAGGAAAACAGGCTGTGAGAGGCCAGAACACACTGAGTTCATCCAGCCATCTGCCCCTTAATGGGATCAGCTATACTGTGTCACTTTAACTTCTGTTTTCCTCTTAGAAGTCTTTCAGAATAGGTAAAATATTCTATTCTAGTACTTCATCCCCCTGACAGGAAATTTTTCCTATTGTATGAACTAGAATTATTTTTCCTGGTGAAGTTTAACTTGTTGTTTATGTGTTTCACCCATCATGAACATGGAAGACTGTTGTTTTCCCATCCTCCTTGCAGAATATTCTCCCTATATTTGGAATCAAATATCTCTGTCTCTCATCTTGGCTTATTAAGCTTAAATAGCTGCAGTTTCTTTCAGCCTTTCTTCAGAGGTCATATTATCCAGATGACACAATCCTTCTGTTGCACAGGAGCTTGCACAGAAGCTGTTATCTGCAACCATTGCCATTGAGTTGTTCTACTGTTACTCCTTTTGTCCTTCCAGGTGCTCCGCCATATCCTGAGGTGCCACCTCCTGACATTTTATCACACCTGCAGAGACAGAACATCATGAAGCAGCCCTCACTCTGCCAGCAAGCCATGTAAGCCCCGTGCTTTGTGGGTGATTGAACAGGAGATCTGCAGAGCTAAATGGAAGTGAGACATGGAAAACCAGATCTTACCCAAAATCTCTTAAGTCTGGACTAAGCTGAGACTTGTTCTCACGTCTACCACATCTCCTCACTGGGTTCTGCTGCATGAAACCCTTGATGGCCAAAACCTTTCTTTTCTTCTTTTGAAAATTACACTTGTTTTTGTTTCCTTCTTTTGAAAATCCCACTTGTTTCTGTTTCCTTCTTGTGAAAATTATACTTGTTCTTTGCATTTTGTTGCTCCACTGCTTCCTTGCAAGGCGCAGGACTGCTCTGGAGTAATCTTTCTCCTCTAAGTGGTGGGATATTCCCTGAAATGAGCACAACATCCACAGGGAAGATCTAAGGCACATTTCCTTGTATGAAGACATAATTTCTTTTAATATTCAGACTTTTTTTCTTCCATCATACTGTTTCAAAAGGGGATGCCAGACAATATTCTTCCCATTTCCCACAATCCCAGTTGACATCCTGGCAAACAACTGCATGCCCATACATTATTATGTGTCCCCCTATGAAAATCTTAGTACCAAATCTTAGACTCTCTATGGTATGAGAAGCTGAATTAGGTGTATCACTGATATTGAAGAGTAAAGAACCAATTCAAACTAAGGATTTGGCAGGAGGAGAAGGGTCACTGAAAGAACTTCACATGGAGGAGGAAAATATGAGATGACTGTGGTAAAACTTGGTGTTGGTTGTTTCTCATTCCCAGTGTTTTCCCTGCTTCTCCATCTTACAGGTACAGCATCATGAAGTCCTGCTGGCAGTGGGATGCAGCTAACAGGCCTTCTCCAGCACAGCTCCTCTGGTCCCTGAAAACAGCTCTGAAGAGCAGCAATGGCCACACAGTTCTGCAGGTGCCTGAGCCAGTGGTGCCTGAACTCTATGCTGATGTTGCTGGTGTTGATGTGCACAGTGTAGTGAGGGAATACACCATCCTCTGAAGGGCCCTTCCACGTGCTGCTGAAGGAGAAGTCACTTGAGTTTTCCCTTCCTAAATATTTTGCAAGCTCAGCATGAGGTGCGTGTGTGTTGGAAGGGATCCCTTTGTTTTTCAGACGTGTTTATATATCTCAAATTTCTCCTCCAGGCCAGGCACAACAAGCTATTAGCACTGTTATTAAATCAACGTGTTGATATCATTCTGCCAGTGGTCATTTGGGAGATAACTGTGTTTAGGGAGCTGTAGAAAATGTAATGAGAAACTGGAGTTAAAGGAGTGTATTAGGTTTGTGTGGCAAGGATTTGGTTATGGGGTGGACTACGGGGGTGACTTCTGTGAGAAGAGATTCCACCTGCAGCCCATGGAGGAGCCCACACTGGAGCAGGTGGATGCCTGAGGGAGGCCGTGACCCCGTGGGAAGCCTGGGCTGGAGCAGAGTCCTGGGAGGGAGCTGTGGAGAGAGGAGCCCACTCTGGAGAAGGACTGCACCCTGTGGAAAGGGACCCGTGCTGGAGCAGTTTGTGAAAAACTGCTGCCCGAGGGAAGGGCTCAGGCTGGAGAAGTTCCTGGAGGACCCCACACTGGAGCAGGGAAAGAGTATGAGGAGTCTTCCCCGTGAAGAGGAAGGAGCAGCAGAGACACCGTGTCATGGACTGACCACAACCCCCATTCCCGATCCCCCTGCTGGACAGGAGGCGGCAGAGAAATCGGGAGTGAAGCTGAGCCCGGGAAGGAGGGAGAGGTGAGGGAAGGTGCCTTAAGATTTGGTTTTATTTCTCATCCTACCCGAATTTGATTAGCAATAGATTAATTTCCCCCAAGTCGAGTCTACTTTGCCCATAATGGTAATCGGTGAGTGATCTCTCCCTTAGCTTGACCTATGAGCCTTTCTTTGTTGTATTTTCCCTCCAGTTGAGAAGAGGGAGTCAGGGAGTGGCTGGAGGGGCACCTGGAATTCAGACAGATTCAACCCACTATGAGGTTTCTGGAAGTCTTTCCCTTTCCTTTCTGTCCCAGGAAATGCATCAGTTGGGCATTCAAAGAAGTAGATGTGTTGGAGAATGTGCTGGGGAAGTGTTCAGTAAATGTCTGGGATTTCTCCAGTGCTTTATACTCCCATGGGAGAGTGGGTACTGTGTTAAAACAAACAAGCAAAGCCCCAAACAAACAAAAAAAACCCCAAACAAAACCAAGAGCAACAACAAAACCTAGCAAAGCCCTTCATATCTGAAAATATTTGATCGATGATTTTAATGGGCATGCAGACCTGGTAAAAAATTGGAGGCACTTGAAGTTGTGAACGTTTTGCCTTCATTCCAAAAGAAGCAGAATCAGTCTGTGAAACAAATTTCCTCTTCTCCCCTCTGCTGTTTGTGGTTTCTGAGTTGACAGTGCCTTAAGGTTTTCTTCTCTCATTATTTTGGTGCTTCAAGCATTACAGGTTCTTGTGAAAAAAGAGTAAATGCACTTTAAAGGAATCATTTTACAATTCTGTGTGGAGTGGATTCAGCGTTCACTCAGTATCTCCAATGGCTCTTGTTTGAAGTTGAAGGGCACAGAGACCCACAAAAGACTGCTTGCAGTTGGTTGTATTAATTGGTTTTCAATATTTCATGTAGTTGAATCCCTGATAATTCCAGAACCAGTTGCAGGCCTGCAGCATCCCATGAGACCAATATTAGGTGTGTGAGCCATGTAGGATTTAAGGTGTGAGAAAGCTAAATGGTTGCTCTTCAAAATGGCAATGTTTATCCTGAAGGAAATCTTCAACCACCACTTTGGATATTAAACCTATATAGCTGTAAAAAGAAACAGATCCTGGTTTCCATCAAAATTTATTGGTCTTCTTCCAAAATCAATGTTAAGAAGTTTTCTATTTTGAATGCAAAGTAACGTGAATGACATGGTTGTTTTTTCTATATCACTTAGGCTTTGTAAGAAACTGTGTTTCCACCCAGAAATAAATGTCATGTGAGTTCCTACAGCATCTATATGACCACTAAACACTGTGACATTGCAAAGTCCATGTATATCACCACTGTACATTGCAAAGTGCACCAAAGAGGGCTCAGTTACCTTTCTGTCTTCTCTTATGGTGTTACCACGTTGATGTCCATGAACCACTGGTGATGTAAACCAGATATAAATAATGGAAACATCTTCTTTTCCAAATGCTAAAATTAAACGTCCTCTTTTCTCCCCCTCACTTGAAAACAGGTTCAAAGCTGCCTGGTAAATTTAGGTCAAATTCACAGTTACCTGTCATTTAGGTGAATAAACTATTCATTAAAAAAAAGCATTTAATTGGTTCAGACCCCAAGAATGGGATATTCTCAAAGGTCTCTGCTGTGAAAGGTGTTTCAGACAGGTAACACAATCCCAGAACTGCTGATGCAGAGCTGGTGAATAACCCCTGTCAAACAGAGAGCTAAAGGTAACAAACACAGCCCTGTTCTCAGAGCACGGAAAGCAAAGTCCTGCTTTACACAAATGCTCATATTTTGTTTCTCTTGTCAAAGCTCTGATCAAGGGAATCCATGGGAATTCAGGATGCTGAGCACCTCACAGCCTCCAACAAAAGATCTGCTTTGGTTTCCCCTGAAAGCAAATCTGTGCCAAGAGCCTGCTTATGAATTTGTCCACAGAAAGACATTTTCCTGCACTATGAAAAGGTCTAATTTAATTTCCCTTCAATAAAGTGGCCTCATTCTCAATCTCATCCTGAGCTGACTGTCTTTTCCCAAGGTTGGTTTGGAAGTGACTGAATCTAAACCAGATTGAGTTTTATAGTGACATGAAAGGAATTATACATGTGGAGTTACCCTAGTTTAACCACACTTCATGCTAATTAAAGTAGTCTATATAGAAGTATTTTTCCACAGAGCAGTTTCCATTCGTGCATCTACATTTTTAGCATCAGTGTAGACTCATGAATTCCTCCTTAGTGAATCCACTGAGGGCCTGGTGATATTTTTTTCACAGATGTTGTGTGGAGAATCATGGCTTTTCAATGGCAGCCCTTGTTTTATTTGTTTAATTGGAATATTTTGTTCCCATGAAAAATGTAAACTTTTAATTATTATATTGAAATTATATATCTGTTATATTAGGAGCAGTTTAGCACCACAGCATATAAATGACATGCATTTGAGTCTTTATTAGACCAGTATTCAATGTACCTGCTTATACAGGCTTGGAGACTGGAAAACAGTGGATTGTTTCACTGTTTTTCTCAAATGTAGTGTGTCTTTCATTACAGATCAAGGTTTATCTCTGCCACCTGTCTTCTTCAGCCATCTGATCATCAGTGAGAGGCTGAATGAGCACCAATAGATCTCCTGAAGGTGAGGAAAGTCCTGTCCAGAATAGGCAAAGAGGGACAAAAAGGTGGTGTTCCAAAAAGTGACAACAGACAGGATGCACAGATACTAAATATTCATGGTGTGATTTGGCTTCACCACGTTGGAATTTCCTGAAACCACAAATGAGCTTTTTAAGAGTCCTTTTGAACTCTAAAATCTTTTTTCTGCTTCAAGTAGCAAAGGATTCCCATTTAAACACCCAGAAGAGAGGTACTGCAGTACTCGTTCTTGTGCATTCACAGAATGGCTTTTTGGTGAGGGCTGTGGTTTAGTCATGAGGATGTGGGAGTGTTTATGCTACCTCCTACAGCTTGTGGTTTTATTTATAGCAGGTGTTGCACCACCAAGGAGTAGCAATAATTCACAAACATCCCCCCCCAACTCTCCAAGACACAAAAAATGCTAGTTTTTTCACATTAATTAGGCTCATATTTATAGAATCCCTTAACAGGTCTTTCTATGCTAAAAGGAGGAGGTGTCCCAGGGTTTTCCTCTTGCCTTGTTTTTAAACAGCCCCAATGTTACCCACTTCTGCAACAGGTGTTTTGCTTCAAAGAATCACAGAGTCACAGAATGCCCTGCGTTGGAATTGACCCACAAAAATCGAGTCCAACTCCTGGACCTGCCCAAGACAACCCCAGGAGTCACACCCTGTCCCTGAGAGTGGTGTCCAAACCCTCCTGGAGCTCTGGCAGCCTTGGGGCTTTGCCCACTGCCCTGGGGAGCCTGGTCAGTGCCCAACCACCCTCTGGGGTAGGAACCTTTTCCTAATATCCAACCTAAACCTGCCCTGACACAGCTCCAGGCCATTCCTGGAGCCCTGTGGAGCCCCACTAGGGACTGGTCTCTACTTCTGTAGCTTTGTGTTTCACTTTAGAGCTGTTGCTCTCTCGTTCCCATGTCCACAGCTCCACACAAACATGTTTTAGCCATCAGAATTTACAAGCTCATTCCCCTTGCAAGCTCATTTCCAGCTTTCCACCAGCGCTTTAGACCTGGTTTTATTTTCCCCTGCAGCCACCACTCTGCATATTTTGCCCTTGGCTAGAGCAGCCCTTGTTGTCAGAGCTGCTCCGAGGTGGCCTCCTAACCAGATCAGTCTTGCCTCGCTGCAGGAGCCTCTCACCACAGCAGGGGGAGTTTCTCACACATCAGACCAAATGGATGTCAAAAAAAACCCCCTTCTTCCAGGGTTGGGGCTGTCTTTGCTTCACACGGGTTCATAAAGGATGCCAGTATGGTTTCTGATATAATAAAACGTGTGACAAAATCCCACAGGCTGCAGTGTTTGCCCTCGTTTCCCTGCAGTTGACGCTGTGTGGCAGCACTGACTGGTCTCACCAGAGCTGCCCTCCCGTGATGCAGGAAGAGGACTTGGCCACGGAATCTGATTTTGTAGAGAGGCAGCTGTGAATCTGAACACAAATTAAAACAACTCCAGGTGGAGTTTCACACATTTCAGGTGACAGGAGCAGCTGCACTGTCCTCTAATGTGCTTTGAGCTCTCAGATGGAATCTGAACTGCTGTAAGAATTCAGATATTCCTGTTTCTCTTCCTGGGTTATCCCACATGTATCCTGATTTGGTGAAGCCTTTTCTAACCAATCCTTTGGGCCACTGATAAGTTTCTACCAGTGTAAAAAGACCAGTGTAATTTAAGGCATAAAATACCAGTGTAAAACTGATGTTTAAGGCTCAAATCACATCAAAAGACTCCGTGTCCTACCTTTAAATAAGGAGACGTACAAAAGTGGCCAAGGGTTGAGCAAAATTCTTAATTTGCTCAGATATTTTACATGATCAGTAGAGGAAAAAATGTACATATCAGTAAAAA